AGGTCTGCGGAACGACGGTTGCGAGACGGTCTCGGGTCATGCTCGGAGCATGCTCGGAATCGTCCGTCCATTGGGATTAGAGTTTTCACTTGTTTCTTGAAGTGCAGATTTCGTGGCAGGCGCAGCACTTTGTGAACCTCCATGTGCAGATTTCGTGGCAGGCGCAGCGCTTTGTGAACACTGTCCACACGTTTCCTTGCTAGTTATTGCCCAGCAATCCACTTGCGTGTGTCAAGCTGCAGCCTTTGTGATGAAAAGGATGAAACTGCAGGTCGAGGATAGGGGCTCCGTGAGCAAGTTCTCCACAGTGCTTTTGGGCGATTTGGGTGCAAGTCTGGGCGACGAGGACAGTAGCATGCTGAGCAGCACCTATGGACATTAAGAAGTTTCGATCAAATAGCTTGATTGTTTGACATATTGTTGGGTAGTACTTGGTGGATCAGAACAGTTTAACATTTGTTTGCTGACTCGACAACGTGACTTGTGGGTGCTTGTCAACTGAAAAGACAGTTTCTGTTTGTTGGACATGACTTCAGCCTTGAAGAATGTGCTCTTGCAGTTGGAAGCGGGTGTATTTTTCCAGGATGACCTCGGCACGGTCACCAACGCCCTGCCCGTACAGTTGGAACCCTTGGACTTTTCCCACGACAATATTGAAAAAAACCTGAAGATAGCTGTTGACGCGCTGAAAAAACATGGATTTGTAGTCTTGCAACTGCCTCAAGAGAGCGTTGAAGCAGCCGAACATGCAGAGGTTCGAGTGTTTGCGCCACTTTGCTTCATGTACAGCACGGCGTCCTAGATTGTCCGGATCCAATGATAGAATATGTTTGTGCCAACTCACTTATTTATAATTGGGTTGTCAGTTGTTTGCGTTTGCCCCTGGAGGATGCATGGCGAGGGTTCTTCCACGGCCATGAAAAAGGTGTGAAAGGATTGAAAACAAACACTAGTTTGCCTTTCGACCACCTTCCCTTAGCTGATGCTGGCTACACTATGCAGAATGCACGGGAACATTTCCACGTTGTGTTGGCAGCATCCCAACAGCAAGAGTGGCCGGATGCTTTGCGTCACATCACAGAACCATTGATTTCGATCCTGGAAAAGTTTCTGGGTGCGTTAAACGTGCTTTATCGCCTCATTTTGTATGTAATTATGTTGTTGGTTCATTCAATTCTTTGAGGATGGAATTGTATTGTTTAATTTGTGTTAATTAACCTCACAAAACAATTTTTGCTGTTGCATTTTGCAGGTTATGCCGGCAGCTCTTGAGGGCTCTACCTCAAGGTGATTCTATGGAAACTGTATGGTTGGCAGAGGCTGAACGTACAGGCGATGTCTCCGTTTTTGAGTCTTTTCCGCTTTACGTTGCAAGAGTGGCACCGAAATCATCAACAAATTGAAACATAGAATTTGCTTTTGGTTGGAGCCGACCAAGAAGCTTACCCTTTTCCTATTGGTGATTTTAGCTCCACCAGTGAAAGAACATATTTTATGTATTACTCGTGCATTTGTTTGGCCCCCCAAATTGATATTGCATCCTTTGGAAACTCCTGCTTGGGTTCCAACATGTTCCAACTGTGAGATCCCCTTATTGTCCCCGGGATTTGTTGTATATAAATTAGGGGACTGCAAGAACCGTATTTCTTTAATACCCCTTGTAAATTGTGCCCTTTTGAAAACCGTACTCATAAGTAGAACCTTTCAATATTCTTATTTGGTCAGTTTGATGGATATCTTCCGAGGGAATAGTCAATTTGTTGACAAAGGTTCCCAGGTGCTGTACAGGGAAAAGGGGAGACCCTTGATTCGTTGTTGGTACGAGCTTGAACATGGATTTTCCAAACAAAAAAAGGTTGCTGGGCAACCTTTTGGTTTTGACGCAGTTCCCACGGTACCTCTATCATAAAATATAACATATGTTATCATATGTTGTCCAAAAACAAAATAGGGACTTGATTTCTGAACATGTACAGTACTCCTTCTAGAACCTTGCTGGTGGATTTCAAGGGGCTGTTATTAGAGGGACAGCAAATCTAATTTGGTCAAAAGCATGCCCCTCAAACAAAACATGTCACCCTATTACTAAAAAAACTGCCCAGATCCGGAGTTGTTTTATATTGGGCAGGGCAGGACCATGTATAGTTCATGAGTAGGGATTAGACAAGCTATGGAATTTTGTTGCACAGCTGCACCAAGGATATTTTCAACTATTTTCCAGGAAGTGCACTAGCTATGGCTGCACATACAGACCCTGGCCTTTTCACAGCCAAATTCATGAGCAAAACGCCTGGCTTGGAGCTTTTGGATGGAAATGGGGATTGGCTGGCCATTGAAGAGCTCGGGTCTTCTGCAGAGGTTGTTGTTTTTGCGGCAGATGTTTTAGAACGTTGGACTCAGGGCGCCGTTCCAAGCTGCCGCCATCGTGTCCGCGCGCCATCTCAAGCAAGACTGTCCTTGGTCTATGAGATGAGGGTCTTGCAGGAAGGTCTTTCTTTGGACGATCTGAGATTTGTCGAAAAGCGGAAGCAGCTCCTGAAAAGCACAAGGATCTCTTGATGATTGACTTTGATGGGCCTATGTACATCTACGTACATGATGTATATAATGGTATATGCTACACTGTTTGTTGTAATTGCAGTTTGTGAGGCCGAATGCGGACAACCTATAATTTGTTGAGCAAGTCTGTGACTCAAGATGCTGATGCTTATTCTTATTCTATAGATGCAGGGCCCTGCAATGTGTTCTTTTTGTCATACTACCATCAAACATCCAGCACAAACACCCACAAACACCGCAAAATATGCATGCCGGCCATTCAACATAAACTGGGTTAAATAGGAGGCATGCTATGGCATGAAATGAGCAGGCAAAAATCATGCGATGCGGATACAGTAGCGGAAGACAGTCACATATACAGAGAAACACTAGCTAGCCATGTCAGCTGGACAAACGAGGGACAACCAGTCCTGGGCTTCCGCCACGCAAGGGGACATCCAACCCTAGTGACAAAGTTCAGGAAATCCTCACGGAAAGCGGATGAAAGCACATTGCAAGAAGGGAAGAAGCCAAAAACAGGTCTCAATGTCTAAAGAAGACACAGTGAGGAAAAGAAAAGAACCGATAACCGACAACAGCAACTGCAACGATTACATAAGTAGCTTCAACGTGTTGTATTCGGAAGTCGATTGTCTTGTCTATGATGTCAGAACACACGGAGCAATAGCGCCAGGTGCTTTCAGAGGTGCAAGGGCACGGGATGGCCAAGGTGATGATAGCCTCAGAGACACTCGCGAAAAAGCTCCTAGTAGCGTTTCTAGCTCCTAGTAGTAAGGCCAGGAGCCCCTATAGTAATTAGCGTTCTTGCTCCTAGTAGCGATGCCCTGAACTCCTAGTAGCATCCTCAGGTCTTTGGGGAAAACACATGCAAGATGTTTCGGCCCCCAAAAGCATAAACAACTCGCGTAAATATGCAACCTTTGAGGGCAGTTACATATGACTTGCTTGTGAAGATGAATCATACTGCAATTAGGTTGTCCAAGTGTATTCAATGAAGAACTTGGTTAAAGATCACACGTTTGCCTGGCTCACAGAGTTTCAATTGAAACAGTTGCAAATCATAAGGATTCAACAGCAAGTCAATTGGAAATATGTATATATATCACCCACCAGATGTCCAAGAACCAAAAGGAATGCACTTTGAGACACTCATATAGACCGTTTCAGTTTTGTACTTGCAACTACAGTAAAGAGCCCACCTGGGGCATCTTCCAATGGGCCAAATCTTCGATCGCTTCAGCTGCGGCCGCCGTGCACGTGCCAAGCAACGAGCGGCGCAGCTGGCTTCTGAGACCTGTCAGGAAGCCGTTGCAGAAGGAAAGAGCGGCTATGAGGCCAAAGACCAATTTTGACCTAACTGATGTGTGTCAACAAACGTTTTCCTGAACTTGCTTGGTGATGTAGCGCATTGCTCTTCGGGAAGGTTGCTCGCTTGGCTGCGGAAGCAGCGCAGCAAGCAGTTATTGGACTTGGGATGCCCTACTCGGAGGTGGGCTGGTTGACCTTTGCAATGCAGACATTTGGAATCAGTTGCCTCCATCCAAAATGTGCATTCCGGCGTTGAATCATATTTGATGCACTGCAGATACAAAACTAGCTTGGCCTCACCTTGAGGTGGCTGCAGTAGCCTTCAAAGCAGCTGCCCATGCTGCCAAGGACAAAACCAAATGATCCAACCGGTGCAATGAATGGTTTTTGCTTGTCTTTTCGCTGGACATGTCCGAGATTTGCAAGATTGTAAGGTGAACATTTCATATAGAGCTAGATTAGATGGCAGCTCGAGCTGCATGCATGCTGTTGACACGCTGGCAGAAACCCTAATCACATTTTAGTACTATTCTATTATCGTTGCCACTTGAAATGAAGCTTGGGGTGTTTTTTCCTGCCCTGAGCCTGCCACTTGTTTTTATTCTGCCCAGTTTCCTGTGTATATGAGGTGTTGCGAGTATGTGTTCCGCCTCGCTAGGTGCCCAGGCCGTGCAGAGTTTCTTGTCCACCAAACATAGCTTGCTTTGGCAGGAAACTAGCATGACTCATGCCCTCCTGGGCATTGCCAGCGAAGCAGCCGGAAAGGCAGTACTCATACCGATTGCAGTGAATTGAACTGTGTATGCCAGCTAATTTCGTTCAGAGACATAAATTCTTCCCAGAAGCGGAAACGTCAAACCAGAGAGAGACAGAGCGCTTGACAAGTTGTAAGATCCTGTGTGATACTGTGATACTCCATGCATGTCTCAAAACTACTAAGTGGGCAAAGTGCAAAGCTTATATATTAATCCTGTCCACCTATTAACCCCCCCCTAATAAGAGAAACTCGGTCGCATTTTTTCTATCAGGGGGTCCCTGAAATCGGGGGGTCCAAAATAGGGTCACCTGGGAAGAGCTTCAAAACCAATAAGTCATCCAGAAAGAAAACTATATAAAATCATTTATATATTCAACTCGTATCAAAAATTCAAAAAACCTCCAGACAAAAACCGTTATTAGAATACTGATTCTTCATTAGACTAACAACCAAAGCTTTCGAAAGGTGATGTCGCTGTGCCATGCGGTTTTGCACGACCTCGGTGGCAAGTGCGTTTGCGTGAGTCCGTGCCATTGGAGGAAGGAAAGCCTGCTGGTGTAAACGCGGCGTGTCATGGGCGGACAGGTGTGGGCAGTTACGGTTGTTTTTGGAACCTAATAAAATAAACTACCCCCAAAATCGACCATGTTGGTAGTTTAGTAACGGCTTGAAAGGGCGGTAATTTAAAAACAAATATAAGCCGAATTTAGGGCTTCGGACGTGGTGTTTATAGGTACTTGGGACTATATAGTGACTCAGAACGAATGCCGCTTTCGCAAGCCAGCGTGACTGATTGACTGCTTAACTCGTTGTTAGCTTTTGCAGGCTGCCATGGCATCCGGAGCCACTGTCTTGGAAGCCGCCTTGTGTGCTGGTGAGGCAGATGTTGAGCCCTCGCACACATTCCTTTGAAAGTAACAGCCGTTGATACCGGGATGAGTCAACAACCACACATAGTTGAACAAGGTATGAGGTCGATCTCAACATGCATTGCCATGGTGTGAGGAGGTTCCCTAGAATCTGGAGAGAGATGAACTTGAAGAGACTTGGCTCTTTGTTGAAAAAATCACAATTTCAAGCCATCCCAAATCCTTTCTAGTCCAGGTAGCTGCTGCGGAGGCCTGATGTGAGATTCAGGGGCAATCATTTGTGGATCCCAGCTGGCTACCTCGCACAGCCTCCCCCAGATCAACCGCCTTTACATGTACCCTTTGTGAGCCTTTTGTACTTCGCTTGATGAGCGCATCCACTCCGAAAGCACCATTGGAATGATTTTTCCAACTCTCAAACTGCACCATTACTGCATGCTGCTGCTTCCTTGAAGACCAGGTGTAAGATTTTTTTCTCGGCATTTGGATGCCTCAGCAACTGCAGATGTTGGTTCATAAGCACAGGCCATTCTTGCCGGCAGCTTGGCTTGCTTTGCTGCAGAGCAAGCAGGCGAGGTCCGAGGATTGCTGTCAGTTTTGTTTTGTTTCCAAAAATTGGTTGGGTCCACTTCGGACTCTTGGTTGCAATCGCCATTGCCTCAAGAATAGTATTTCAATAAACGTGCTGAGAGAGCAGATTCAATGCAATAGAAAGTAAAAAAAGTTTGCCCAGCCTTCTTTCGGTCCCAGAGCAATCCTGATGCAATCCTGATATCACACTCATCCCGGCACTAAACTAGACTCTTCACACTCAAGTTGGCCAGAGCAACTCTTTATTTCATGAAGCATCCGTGTTTAGTGGCCTTGCAGGTGAAGCAGCAGCCCAAGCTGCTTTGGCAGCAGGGGCTGGCCATGCTCAGGCTCGGGATGAATCCACAGAAGAAGACCCAGCATGGCTTACTCTCACTTCCTACCATTTAGGACAGGAGAAGTCGTGTACTTGACAAGGCATTCAAGTTTCCTTGCATTCTTTTGGGCTTCTTCAGCGGGAGCCGGGATGGATGAACATGGTAATGAAATGCATCAGCAGCAGATTGGTCTGCTCCAGTTGACACTTGTCAGGCTACCAAAGCAGCCTCAGAGGTAGCCGCATCGGTGGCTAAGTCTGCTGCCCGGAGGGATGGAGCCTCCGAGGAGGACGCAGGCGAGCAGAAGAGACACGACGGAGACGTACGGAGACAAGACATCCATGTGCATGCTGCATGCATGTGCAATTTTCATTGTACCTACTACATTCCACTTTGACCATCAAGAGAGCCTGTTTTGTGTTTTATGACAACAAGGGAAGGACAATGAACATGCAACTGTTCGGGGTTCCTCTGGTCAATCCATTCATCAGTGATTTTGCGTTGAGATTCCAGTGGTGATGGTGTTGCGGGCATCCAGGTGAACTCGCCAAGGATGCTGCAAAGAGAGCAAAACACTTTGCTTTGCACTTGGCACCTGTATCAGTGTCTTGGTGTCATTTTGAGTTGTCAGAGTTTTTGTTTCACCCTGCTCCCCCCTGCCTACTTATACTTGAGTAAGGAGGCAAGCTACTAGACTAAGTTAGCTTCTAGGTAGGACGCAGGATAGCTCACGCACTACGGTAGTGATTTGGTTCCTAGATTTTAGGGAAACTATACATTTTGTACCTAAAAGCAGCGGCGATTGCAAGCGGAAACATTAGATGGAAATCCAGGCAGATTTGTTTTGTATGATTATAGCAAGATGTGTTGAATTCACTTTCCAGAACGGAAGGACAGGATATACATTTCACTCATAAACCATCATTGTCGAGCAGCTCAAAAAATTGCACACTGGGATCCCAAAGCACCAACTGTACACAGTGAAACCTTTGGAGGACTAAGGAGTGTTGTTATTTTTTCCTAGGTTAGGTTGTCTAGTCTGTGCAGCACACTGGTTGCTTTCTACGGTAACTGATTGCCACTCCGATGTCCATTGCCATTTTTGGTTCTGTTGATCAGAGCAACCGTTTGCAGTTCTCCTTGTTTCTGGTGAGTCCT